TCTGTGCCCCGAGCCCCGGTGCTGGGCGTCCCCAGGAAATGGGACCCTGAGCACTGGGGGGCTCCTGGGGGGCACTGGGGGGCTCCTGGGGGCTCCCCAGCATTTGGAGCAACGCTCCTTTTCCCTCCAGCGCCTGCAGGGTCCCTGCGGGGGTGATGGGGGTCCCCGGCAACCGGGGCCCCCCTGAATCCTGCGGGTGGTCGCGCTGGACCCCCTGGACCCGCTGTGACTGCGGCACCGGGACCCGGCAGCGCTTCAGGTGAGGGGCGACCCCATAGCGGGGGTGTGACCCTTAACGGGGGGTCCTGACCCATAACGGTGGTCCTGTCCCATAGTGGGGGGTCCTGTCCCATAGCGGGGGGTCGTGCCCCACTCCCCACTCCCCACAGGTCTCCCACCAACCCCTCGGCCGCGGCGGGCGGTGCCCCCTGCACCGGGACCCCCCGGGAGGTTCGGGGCTGTCCCGAGCTCTGCAGACCCGGTACGTGCCAGGATCCCCCCGACCCCCGGGCCCCGGAGCTGGGACCCCCGAGTGCCACCGGGGCCCCTCGATCGTCTCGTGTCCTTCTGTCCCAGAGCCCGAGAGCGCGGGGCCACCTGGGGCCACCGAGGCGCCCTGGCCCCCGGGGTCCCCACGGCCACCGGGGGGCACAGAGAGCCCAGAGTCCCCGGGGTCGCCGTGGGCGCTGGAGCCCGCGTGGGGCACGGAGCTGCCTTGGGAGCCGGGGTCCCTGGAGCCGGCGTGGGGCACGGAGACCCCCGAGCCTCCCGAGACCCCGGAGACCCCCGAGCCCCCGGATACCCCCGAGCCTCCCGAGTCCCCCGAGTCCCCGGAGTCCCCGGACGCCGCGCTCGGCCGGTGGTGGCCGTGGAGCACGGGGTCCCCGGGAGTGCCGGTGTCGCCGCGGAGCACAGAGCCCGCCCTGGCCCCCGCGCCGCCGCTCCCCGCCCGTGGCCGGTGGTCGCCGTGGGGGCCCTGGGGCGGCTGCAGCGCTCCGTGCGGGGGGGGCGAGCGCTGGCGCCGCCGGGGCTGCGGGACCCCCCCGTGCCCGGGGCCGGCGCTGCAGAGCCAGAGCTGCCACAGCCACGTGTGCCGCGGTGAGTGCCACACGGGCAGCGCGACAGGGACCCCGACAGGGACCCCGACAGGGACCCCGACACGGGCAGCGCGACAGGGACCCCGACAGGGACCCCGACACGGGCACCCCGACACCGGGACCCTCACCCAGAGACCCCAGTACAGAGAGCCCGAGACAGGGACCCCGACCCAGACACTGTCACCCAGAAATGTCACCCAGAGCCCCCGAGCACAGCCCTGCCCTGTCCCACAGCCCTGCCCCACTGTGCACGGAAGCTCTGCCCCACAGACCCCACAGACCCCCCAGCCCTGCCCCACAGCCCCCCCGTGCCCCACAGCTCCACCCCTCATCCCCTCTCCACACGCCCCATGGGGCCGGGGGTGTTGGGGGGCACAGGCCGGGTGCCCCCGGGGTGCTCAGGGGTGTTTTTTGGGGGCGGAGGCCGGCTGCCCCCCAGGCACTGAGCGTTTTTTCGGGGGCTGCAGAGGCGGGGTGCCCCCCGGGCCGGACCTTCCGTGAGTGCGGGGGGGGCTCCGGGTGTCCCCGGAGCTGCGCCCACCTTGGGGGGGCCGTGGGGTGCGCGGGGGGGTGCCAGGAGGGCTGTCACTGCCCCCCCGGGACCTTCCTGCACCGCCGCACCTGCCTGCAGGTGAGACCCCCCGGGCGAGCCCCCAAGGGCGCTGCCCCCAAATCCTGGGGTGGGAATGAGGGGGGGAGGATTTGGGGTTTAGGGGGGGGTCCACAACTCCACGGGTGCCCCTCAGAG